AGATGGCGCCACCTGTACCGTTTTGGACCGAATTCTACAAAAATTGATTTCCTGGCTTTATTAGGCATCAAAACGCATCAAACCCTAATAGAAATTTGTTTCTAAATGCCTCAGGAACCATATTACGTTGTCAAAGTGCCAAAATATTGCACTTTGCATGTGTAGTAGAATTGACATACGCGGCTCATGTACGTATCGCAATGCTGACACAAAATAATTAATTACTCATTACCCGAACATCATTTATGAACTTTTATGATCGAACCATGTAAATAATGCATTGCTGAACATTCTTTAATCATAAAAGTTCATAAACTGTGCTCAGAAAGTGAGTATTTAACGATTTTGCATACTCATTGTCGTGTATATTCCTCTTACGTGCCGCCCGCGCATGCCACGGAGGAATAATTACCGAAAAACCATATCCTCGTAGACTTTAATGCAAAATTGAATTTGCTCGCGCTTATGTACTTGACTTTTCAACTTTTTTGTCCACGCTTTTCTTTTGCACCACTCAACCAATTCAACCGGATGACACGGTTGACTATTTTTGCTTTAGCGTGAAATTTACTCGCTCGCTCAACATTGTTAGGTTAGGCGCGGAGCAAATCAAACAGACCTAGTACTATTATCAGTAATTGCTATTATTTATTCATGTTTAATTATATTATTCAACAATATAGATTATTATAACAATGTTACACTTGTTCATTTGCCTCCTTTGCAGCATGTTTTTTCCACTTGGACCCTTGGGCTTCCGGATATTTATCAACAAGGAAACTACAAACATTTCCTGTTTCAGCTTTTGATCTGATAATCACATCATATTGACCTCTTTGACGTTCTGCTTTACGTAAATGATTCGACCATGAACGTAATTTCGTATAAAATGGTACATATGGCTTCTTGTGCAAATATATTCTTCCATTCATCAAATGTTGCCTCAAATTTAAAGTTTCATCCGGACTAATTTCAGACTGCTTCCTGGCAGTTGCTGGTGAAGCAAGTACTTTTGGAAAATAACCAGTCTCCTTGGAGAATTCAACTAAATGCAGTTGCTTTTCATCTGCAATCTCTTGGAACGTTTTCTAAAAAGAATAAATATCATTAAATAGAATATATAAATAGTAAAAAGAAAACTTTATAAAAAGAATATTTATAGACAAACTAAGTAGTTCTTAAATGAATAAAATATGTACCTGCTGTATCAAACCAAGGAAGAAAGCTTTTACAATATTAGGAACATTCTTGGAACCTTCAATTTTAGCATAAATATCTTTTATGCCAATGGCTTCACAACATGTCTTAATAACACGATGACATACAAGCCCATGACCTTTAGGTTTTCGTTCAACATATATTTTTGTCTTTCCAAATTGTGTAAAAAAATCGTGCATGACTGAAACAATAAACTTGTAATTTTTTACATTTCTATGACCAATAATATTTAAAACAGTACAAAATGTTTTACCAGTATGTTCATTGTATCTCGCAATGGACATTAATCTCTGACCAGCTCTGTTTTTTGCTGTTATTAAACTTGGTTTAACGTTACCTCCAGAAAGCATTGAAAATCCAGCCAAACCATTTCTATTCCCAGTTATAACCAAACAGCGACAAGCTTTATTACGACCCATGTTACTTGTCATGACAGATACTGATTTATGATATAATATCCAACTTTCAAAGTTCTCAAATATTTCTGAAATAAATTATTATAAAAACAAAATATGATTATTTATACACTCACATATAATACATACCACCATTAACAGGATCAGGTGGCCCAAGAGTTCGTCCACCCATTAAACCACCAGTCCAACCACGTTTTAAAGGATTGCGTTTCGGTTTTTTTGACATGTTCCAATTTGTTGGTTTTTCCTCCTCTGCTTGCACGGGACTTGAAACACGCTCATTTGTTACTATTACATTTCCTTTCAGAACTGGAGCATTTAAGCCAGGCAATACCAATGGTACTTTTCCCTTGCCCATCTTTTGCCCTTTATTTAAATCTTTAACTCTAGGAGCAGATCTTCCTCTCCCTCTTCTTCTACCAGCATTGCTGACACTAGTAACTGACTTCCACAGCTCAGCCGCCGTCCCTAAATATTTCAGTTTTAAGTTATTATATGTCTATTAAAATTACGTCGATATGTACTTACTCTTCATGAAAAAACTAGTAGTACTCCTTGCATTTTGAATTAGCGGATTGCGTGGTATTAACAAACCTGCAATTTAAAAATATAAAATAAAAATCCAATACGAAAGGCTCCAAATTGGATGGAAAATGTTATAAACATTTTAAGGTTATATTAAATACAATATTATTCACAGATAATATATTTATCGTACCATTATCTGTAATAAATTTACTTCTCGTGCAAGTCGTTATTAATCTACAAACACGAAATATTCCACTCGTCATTTTAAATCTGTAAAATCGTATTCTATTATTAAATCATCAATACTGAACTCTAGAGTTCAGTAGTTATTACAGACGAGGTATACAGTAGAGTTTATTCGATTTATCGTTTACGCCATTTTTTGGTCGCAACATGAAAACTGACATCATTGAAAACATTGCGAGTATTTTATACATTTTCAAAACCCCATTCTTTCACGTTCCATGAATTTTATATTTACGTACTACTAGAAAAATAGAAAATTGCGTTTTCCAAAAATTGTTCGTCTTCGAAAAGGCAATTTTCAATTTCGTTAATTCCGCCGTATCTCGTTAGATGACGTCATGACTCAGTTCCGGTGGAATTATAGTACGATTAGTTTCTACCTTCCACCGCTAGATGTCTAGGCTTTTTTACGTCCATAAAATGCAATTTAAAAAATGTTTGTTCTTATCGTTTTGGAGGAATTACGATGTCTTTCATTATGACTGAAATTACATGGTACACAATATTTTTTGTAGAAACGTAAAAGTTTTTACTTCGAAAGAAAAAAGTTAGGTGGCGCCAATGATACAGTTTACAAAAAGCGCGCGAATGAATGTCAGTATAAGGAAGACACGAACAAGGCTTCCGAAGTAGTAGCGGTTTAGTAGCGTCAGAGAAGAAACCATCAAGAATTATGTCTGCAAAGATATTGGAATTGACAGTGAAAATGATTTATGACAACTAGATTGACGAGAGTCCTGTCGGACGTCATAATGTTATAATGTTATATGTTCGATTGTTCGACCGCCGTTTTGAAATTTTTTCTGTGTCAACGTATCCGGACAACTTTCATCGAATGAAAGTCAGTTTGGCCAGAGTCATGTGCGGTTCAACCGGCTTCTGGAAACAGCAGAACTGCGAACACGATACTGGCGGACGAGTAACGAATTTTGTTGTCCGCGAAACATGCCAGTCGGTAAAATCGGCGAGCATACGGCGAGGAAGGAAGTGGGTGTCGCAGAGGGTAGGTGGGATGGCGTATAAATTTTTCCAAGGACAAAGCCGAAAGCGGAGGTAGAAAGCGAAAGGGAGATAGGTGGTTAGGCAGAGAGAAAGAAGGGCGAGGAAGGTGGGCTGTCTCGAGACCGGTGGCCATGAGACGCAGTCAGCAGCCAGATTAGGCAGACGAGGTGGCAGTTGGTAGGGAGCGAGGGAGCAGCGCACGATAGGTGGACGCGCAGCAGGAGGTCCGTTTCGTTAATTCCGCCGTATCTCGTTAGATGACGTCATGACTCAGTTCCGGTGGAATTATAGTACGATTAGTTTCTACCTTCCACCGCTAGATGTCTAGGCTTTTTTACGTCCATAAAATGCAATTTAAAAAATGTTTGTTCTTATCGTTTTGGAGGAATTACGATGTCTTTCATTATGACTGAAATTACATGGTACACAATATTTTTTGTAGAAACGTAAAAGTTTTTACTTCGAAAGAAAAAAGTTAGGTGGCGCCAATGATACAGTTTACAAAAAGCGCGCGAATGAATGTCAGTATAAGGAAGACACGAACAAGGCTTCCGAAGTAGTAGCGGTTTAGTAGCGTCAGAGAAGAAACCATCAAGAATTATGTCTGCAAAGATATTGGAATTGACAGTGAAAATGATTTATGACAACTAGATTGACGAGAGTCCTGTCGGACGTCATAATGTTATAATGTTATATGTTCGATTGTTCGACCGCCGTTTTGAAATTTTTTCTGTGTCAACGTATCCGGACAACTTTCATCGAATGAAAGTCAGTTTGGCCAGAGTCATGTGCGGTTCAACCGGCTTCTGGAAACAGCAGAACTGCGAACACGATACTGGCGGACGAGTAACGAATTTTGTTGTCCGCGAAACATGCCAGTCGGTAAAATCGGCGAGCATACGGCGAGGAAGGAAGTGGGTGTCGCAGAGGGTAGGTGGGATGGCGTATAAATTTTTCCAAGGACAAAGCCGAAAGCGGAGGTAGAAAGCGAAAGGGAGATAGGTGGTTAGGCAGAGAGAAAGAAGGGCGAGGAAGGTGGGCTGTCTCGAGACCGGTGGCCATGAGACGCAGTCAGCAGCCAGATTAGGCAGACGAGGTGGCAGTTGGTAGGGAGCGAGGGAGCAGCGCACGATAGGTGGACGCGCAGCAGGAGGTCCGTGGAGTCGGCCAACGACGTCGCGTTTCACGGAACGGCGCAACCCCGACGAAGCCACGAACCGGTCGTAGCGGGATCCAATGAAAGCGCATGGGCTCACTGATTGGCGGGGTTCGTCCAATGACAGTATGGTTTAGGTAGCTCGGTCGGGCTGGAGGTCGGTTAGGTGGCCCCGCGAGCCCCTCTCCGGGCAGGCGAGTGGGAGCCCTTCTCTCACACGCAAAAGGGGACATCTCATCACGACTCTTGGTAGCAGGCACTTCTCCGTAGTGGGCACTCCACTCATCGTGTCGTCGTACGGGTTCTCCGCGAGAGGCTGTGGGGCCCGAGCCCGGACGAACGAGCGAGCGAGCGAGCGAGCGAGCGCGACCGGCCGAGCC